AGCATAAGATGTGAAAAAGGCAGCGGCTGTGTATGATGTTGATCCAGCGCCTAGACAAAAAGATCAGGGTGTGTTTCCTCCCACGAAATAGTAGATGGAGAACACGCTGATGGTCTCGACTTTGGTGTGCAAGTGCTGAGCCACTTGGAGGGGCGTCAGCAGGAGTACAAAACAGCTCTTTGTGTGTAAGCGTGTTGCGGCACACGTCAAGTGGCGGAGTCAGCCAGCCCGACCGCCTTCGACGAACGTACGCCTCTGTAAAGTTACTTGGGGTGTGCTAACGCGAAAATCCGGATATATCGACTCAAGACTTAGGCAGATATAGGAGCGCGAGCTTACAACGCCAGATTCCCCGCTGAAAAATTCTTCCTCAACCACGGGGTAGCCTTTGCAGAGTCAGTCGCGTATACCGTGGACCCGTTTGCCTTGCGCGAAGCTGCCTCGTTGCAGGTGCGCGCGCATCTGCTTGTTCCCCGTTGTCGTTTGTTACATGGTCTGACTCCCTCCCAAGGACGAGGGAACACGGGCAGCGGGTGTGACCAGTTTACGCTGTCCCGTGAACCCGAGTACAGCTGACCGCGTGTGTACCTCGTTGGCCGTAGTTGAGGACTCCGCGGTGACGAGTTCTGCTCGCATCATGTAACGCGGTTGTATCATTGTCGTGGACGCGCAGTGCAGCTTTCATCCACAGCAGTGCGCAGAGTACCTCCTAGTCCCGTGGAAATGAGCGTGTCTCTCTTTTATATAGTGTCCCTGCTTCAGTTGCATCCGTACGCGGCAGAGGCTCCAGCAGCAGTAGGGGTGGTGAAGCAGGATACACAGCCGCATCAACACTAAGCGCTGTAAGGCATCATTGAAAGGATAGGCCCCGGCATGGGAATTGTCGCGAAGCCTTTCCAGCAAGAGCGTGAAGTTTAGATACATGGTGAAACGAGTGTAGCCTCCACGGGGCGACTCCCGAAAGTCAGCTCGTGCGGCTTTTCCGGATGTTCTGGCATCCATATAAGCGGAGGACTTGTCGACCGATGTTCGCAAGTACAACTAGACACTGACATTTACGCGCAGTAGAATACTCCAACGCTGCAGTAGTATGTCTCATGAATCCCGTGCGGTTCCTTCGTGTACGAAGGTAGTATCGTTCAGTCGTATGGGGCTGCAGTAGTAGAGGCGAGGACGGTTCTAGGTTGCTAGCACGCAAGATACGCGTGGCAGCGCCGTAGATTTTTGTCGCTGGGCTAGACAGCTGCTGACCGTTTTCTTTTATAGAAGCGGAGACGTGTTCCCGCCGTGGGGTAGGCCCTGCTCTTCGCAAGCAGAGATCCGCTCCTCGGTGACTCCTGCCCGCTGTGACCGTGCACCGACGGCATTCCGTCTAGCTCTCCTCCGGTCATTTCGTTATGTTTTTCCTTTGACTTCGTGTCACGAGTGTTGACGTTTCGCGCTGCGTCGCCCAGATCTCCACAGTTCTAATCAAGACGTGCTTTTCTCGCATAGCCGTGGTTGCACGCGTCACCCCTCCGCTAGCTGACGGGCGGCCGGTGTCTGTAGGTCGGTCGAGCCGCAGTGTCGGGGCGGAACCCCTTGGCGTACAGCAAATGGCCGCGCACGTTCTTGCGAAGACAGCCTGCGAGACCAGCTTGACCTTTGAGCTCGCTTGAAGACACGTGTGCTTGGCGACCAGGTCCTCGGAAGCAGCTCGTACCGGGCACATGCCAGTCGCCGCTCGCACGGTTGTTGCCTGTTCGTTTCATCTGTAACGACGTCGTGACGTGTTTGTCTTACGAGCCGATTCACCTGGCTGTATCTCTGCAACCACCGCCCTTCGTCATATAACGTTGCAAGACGCTTGCTCAAGTGCGTGCCTGGCGACTCGATACCCGGAAGAAACTCGTGCCTGCCATATACATGTCAGCACTTGTCGTGATGCGCCCGTCATGCTCGCCTGCCCGATCTAGCTGTAATTCTTGCTACCCGATAGCCGAAACAAATACTAACCGGACATATGCCATCCAGCACTGGGCGTGCACTCAGTCTGTACACTTCACCGGTTACAGCACCGGAGTCCAACTGCCTTACGAGCCACTCCAATCCAGCTCTGTTCTGGCTGTCACGCCCCTTCGTCCCGCCTTGCTCAGGTGTAGCGTCCCTGTTTCGGCGTAGCTGCTCAGAGCGGGCGGCTCAGCGCGGACCCACAACGCAGGCCGCGCACCCGCTTCACGGGCGGTCTCTTGGACTCTTTGTAATCGTGCATTAGCCTCTTCGTGCCTTATACTCTCCAACGAATTCTTCTTTCTTGGCAGCTGCTTCCGTGGCATGGAAATGTGTCTTATCGGGTGTCATTTTAGACCTGTGGGTTTCGACGAGCCTGTCCCGCACCAGGGAGTTTAGTTCGCAGGGAATTCGCCCCCTGTGCACTCAGCACTCGTCAAGCGACCTATGCTTTCTTACACCTTCTCGTGCTTCTGCCAGAACCACGACTAGACTGGCTATAGGTGGTACGCGGGTATGAGTCACCGTTCACCTGCGTGCTTGCTCTGCCATGTGGAGCTGGCAGACTCGTCCTGCACTTCCGTTTGCCAGGTCGTGAGAGCTTCAGCGTCACGGGGTATGCGTTTATGCGTCTCCCGTCGAAGTGCTGTATCTTCTCTCCTCTGCGCGGAGGACTCTCGAGCCTGAATGTCCGACTCGTGTCACACAGGCGGCCCTGCGGGCCCATCCGTCCGCTTCGGGAGAATGGTCTGCGCCGCACTTCCGAAGGATTTGTGGCAGCATTCTCACGACTTTAAGGGCGCACCTAGGCATAGCAAAAGTAGCAGCCGCAGAAGCGACGATTAGCTTGATTTGGAAAGACGGTCAGGATAGCTTTTTGTTCTGCATTCAGGGAAAAATCCCTACTTCGTGTCTCAGGAAATGGTGGGGTGTTTCAGTTTTAAACCAACTCGACTCGTGAGGAGGACTTAAGGACTTCAAGGGCGCACATAGGCATACCCGAGGCAGCAACCGCGGCAGAGACAATGACGTCGGCTGCGATGGAAGGCCAGGGCGGTATTCGGTTCTGAATGCTGAAACGGACCGTTGCTTTGTGATGTTGGCACGTTTGCTCGCCACGCAGACAAGCTGCCGCTGTGGCTTCTTTCCATTCTCAGTGTCCGAAGATGGCGGGGATGCCCATGAGCGTGGCTGTGCTATGGGATGCGTTAAGACGCGATGCCGGAGTCGAGCTTCGCAGTGCCAGATATCACTCCTGAGAAACTCGGAGGTTTTCTGATAGAGATACGGAGCAGGGTGCAGCAGCAGCGCAGCAGCAGCATGCGACGCTTCAGGGGAGAGTACGCGACCGCCTACGCTCAATACATGCAACTCCAGGCAAGCTACACAGGCCCTGAGGCCGACGAGCGGTGCTCCACTTATCTGTCCTGGTGCTTCTGCTGGAACCAGCCAGAGTTGGGTACTGTGGCGCTGTGTAGCGAAATTATTCGGCTGCACTGATTGCGGAGCATTCTAGCCCGCTAAGGCTGCATCGGCTGCGGCGCCGAGTACTCTCCTGTGTACGTTGGTACATATATACATATATGTGTATGGTGTGCATGTTTCCCCTCTACAGCATAGAGTGTCTGGCTCTCTCTGTAATATGCTTGCTGCATCTAAACCTGTAGCTCACCCGCGGAAACGCAGTCTCTTCAACAATCTGCTATATATACTTAGGTGAACAAAAGGCGTATAGTTTCGGGGTCGCCTGTGTTGCCGGCCGCAGTAGACGTTTCCTGCTTCCCGCATGTAGCTGCGTGCGCGCTTGGTGTCATTGTCGGCTTGGCTTCCTGTGTACTCAGCTGCTTTACCCTGCTGTTCTGCAGGTCTTTGTTTACAACTGCAAGATCTTTCACGATTTGCCCATCCTCTGCGCACACCTGCGCGCCTCGTTTGTCAGTGCGTGTAAGTTGTAAGTGCAACTGCATGAATGACGTTGAACACGTGCGTAATGCTTTGTAGCGTATGGGCAAGACGTGCCGCTGGATGATTATACCCGTCCCCCTCGCGTCGTTACTGAGAAGATCCGCCCGCCACCTTCTAACCCTCCCGTTCCGCGCCCAGGCACGCTGGGTCTTATAACCGTGCCTCCCCGTATGCGCCGGCGTGGGGGCGCGCCGTGCACTTCCCTGTTTGCCAGTGACGAGATCTCACCTCCGCCCAGAGCAGTCATTCGGCCGCGTCTGTGTCCTTGCCGCCTCAGGAGGAACTGGATCCTCTAGAGAAGGCCAAAGAGACGCTTTTGAATAAGGTGACGACCAGTTACGGCGTGTCATGGAACAGGCTGCCAAATACAAACTGCAGGGCAGGAAGCAGCGCATGTCCGTTGCTTCACAAGATCAGGAACGCGGCTGCTGCTTATGCGGAACATCCGAAGTACACGTCGACTGTTGCCGGTACGACACATGCAGCCTATCTCCTGACGCCTACCGATCTTCTTGTACCAGCTGGTCTTGCTGCCTGAAGTACGGATCATTATAGCGTGCTCCTGCTGCATCGGCTGCGCTGGTGAGCGCTCCACTGTCCACATTCGGTAAAATATCTACAGCCTGCCGTGTATCCCCACACATCTTCGTTGGTGTCTCCCTCTATTTATCCGTAGAAATATGCGCAAGCACCATCAGCGTAACCAGGTGTGCTTCGCAGTATACGCACACGAGGTTACTATAGGTACGTCTGAACTGGTGCACCGTATACGCAGTGGGAGGGCCTGAGTTCCTGCGCGTGCTCCTGTACTGGATAGCTCAAGACAACGGCTTTCGTAGCAGACAGGTGCCGCCCGAGTGTCAGATGCGCGATATACGCGAGTAGCAGCGCGCGTTACCAGGCGCACGGGGGACGGCGCGGAGACAGTCGGTGTGTGGGGCTAGGCTGCTTGGCAGCAGACGCCGGGAGCGAAATGCAAACGAGGGTTGTAGAAGTACATGAGAACGCGACCGCAATCGTAGAATAGGCGGGTATGCGTTCAGTTCCCCGAAGTAGTCAAGGTGCTGCATACGCCGTCGGGGATCTGAATACACCACGCAGACCTCCTACCGGGTGACCGACATGTTGGCCTCTGAATGCGTCCGCTGCGGATTCTCGGCCATGCCGGCGCCGAAACCATGAATGCGGACGCAGAGCAGTCGTGTCTGAGTTTCCGTGTCGTGGACGTAGTAATATTTCGTCTTTGCACACGCAGTAGAACCGAGACGCAGGAGCGCGTTGGTCTCTTCGTTCTTTCGCATGTGGTACAGCTGAGCTGCGGAGGCACTTTGAACTAAATATTTCGTTTCCGTCGCCCCCGTCGTCTCCTTTGCGCAGGCGGACTCTGTGGCTTGTACATTACCTGCTTGTGCGCAGACGAGAGGCGGCTACCAGCTGATTCGTGAAGTGCTAAGGGATATGTACGAGCTGTCACGCCCGACCGCTAAACATGCGCGTGCTTGCATTGTATGGGTCTGGCATAGCTGCAGCTCGTTCGCATCTGAGCAGCGAAAACCTCCTCTCAGCACTTGTAGGTGGAGTCCTGGTGGTCACAGGAGCTTGCATAAAACACACTTGATCTCCTACAGCTCCCCTGACTTCCGTGCGCTCTTGAAGCCTCGCGGACAAAAACTCGGCGAAGACCCTCCCTATGCGTCTTGGCTCCCGCCTCATGCGTCAATACACGGTCCCTTGTTTCACCTTCGCGTTGTTGCTCCCATTTCATTCTGTCACACACTGCCTAGGGTACATGGACGCGTATCAGCACACACTATTACATACGTCGCCGGCCGGTCGCAAGCGTGTACGAGCGGCTGCCGTTGGTGAAGAACGCAGCAGAGGCAGCGGAGGGGATGCAGCTGAGAAGTGCCGAATTGGCTTGGTGTGCGCGGCCTGCTTCTACGACAACTCGTGCACCCGTTAGGGGCTGCCATGTTACAAGAGACTCTTCCGGCGCAACGGGGGTTACGCTGGCTTCCCCGGACTCCACGACACACTTCCGTAGCCCCCCAATAGTTGGCGTTGCTTAGCTATTCAGATAAAGTGTTTGTGTGCCTTCACGGCTTGATACGTGTCTGCCGGCATATACGGATTTTTCCTACATATCATTGTGCGTGTTTATAAGTATATATATACTGTAAGACTTCTGCTTGCATATGCGTGTTCCTAGTGCTTGCGGCTGCGTCGTCGTAGACGTCGCGCCCCATGCTTAGCCGCAGATGTCCACGTGAATATGTGCAGCTCTATACTTTTCTCCAGGCAGCGCAACGACACAGGTCGGGCTCGGCGTAACTTTGTGCTGCAGGAAGCGTTTTTGCGGGAACATGTGGAATCCGAAAGGGGCGTGCTGCAGAACGGTTTACGCGTCTGTTGGCTATGCGTTGCCACTAACATTGTGCTCCCCTTTGCGTACGGCACGCTGGAGGGCTTAAGAAAAGGCGCTAGGCGAAAGGAGGCAGTGCTGCTGTAACGTGTGTAAACCGCCGGCTCCTCCTAAGACCCTCGGCTGCAGGGGTATTTGGTAGAGTGCCGGGTTGCCCGACAGCTAGAAGTTGAAATCGAGCCGCACACGCCGCGACGGACCACTTTTAGCGCCGTCGACCCAGGCACAGAAATATCAGGATATCAATGCAGCGAAGATAGGGAAGCAGTGGCTGCCACGGCAGATAACTCACGCAGCAGCTCTCACTGCCGCTTCCCTTGGAAGCCGTGAAGCCTAAGGAGCAACAGCGTTCTTACACCTGCTGCTGTGCGGTCAGTGCGCCGTGAGCGATCCCGTCTCTTTTTCAGCTTTTCAGCGCGGAAACAAGATGATTCTAGGGTGGAACGAGGTTGTGCGTATGCATATATCGACTGCTGAATAGTAATCCAGCACTACAAGCAACTCGTACCATCGTATATAATATGCATATGTGTATACGTACGTATATACGTCTGTCGAAGGTCCACGTCTGAAGGGACACATGTGCGCACACCATGTACATGGGAGCCGCCGCGCTTCTTGAGGTGCTCACCCTTGCCCACACGCGTATACGCTCGATATGCCTTGCCAAACACACGCATGCCTGCCCCGACGTGGCTCTACCAGGAGACTTGGTAGGCCGCCTCAAGCGATTTTTCTTCTGTGTCACAGTTGCTTCTTTCTTGCCGTGTTTTTCTGTGCTGCTGGCTGCCCGCAGGCCTCAGCGCCCAGCATCGAGAATGGGTAGATAGGATAATATTTCCTTGCTACCTGCTGCGCTGGCAAGTGGAGGAAGCCGAAAATGCTTTGTGGGTCAAATACACTGGCGTGACTATTGCGCAGGTACGGCTGCAAGGCGACTCTTGCACTCCACCAACTCTTGCAGCGATGAGGTGCCACTCCAGCAGAGGGAGCGTGCCGCCGGCGGGGACTGCGCATGGGCACGGCCGGCACCGGTACTCGCCGCGTCCGCCGTTGTGGTCGTCAAGACGTCATAATCACGCGAGTGCGCACGAGGGCACTTGCAAATGTATGTAGGTGCTAGTGACGTCGACCAAACGTGTGTTGTTGTGTATCCGTCCCTCGTATTCCTCGTTGTCTTCCTTCGCGTGTACGCCCCAGCTGCCGAAATCTCTGCCCAGTGCGCAACATTTGCGCTTCTTGCGTGGCTGAAGGGTGCGCAGAAGCAAATCCATCGCCACCGACAGCTGAGAACGACACGTACAACAACACACGGGTGCAAGCGGATGCTCAGAGATCTACATCCTCGCGGTCACACGGATATCTGTGTTCCTATCATGACGGTGTGCGGACTACGGCGCAGTAGTCGTGCCCTCTGTCGTACTGCTAGTGGCTGCGAGCTCTGTCGAAGTGGCTCCAGGTGTTCGCACATGATCCGTGAGTCCCCTGGGACATGCTGAGGGCTACCATCGCACAACGCATGTCCTTTTTCCCGGCAACTTCGCAGGCGTTGGCAGATCGTCCTCAGCTCGTCCGGCAGCAGCTTAGATGAAATGTCGCAGGCCAACCGCGCTGCGGTATGCAAGAGCGCAGTAATTGCAACGAATTTCGTGGATCTGGCATGCGGCCATCTCGCGAAACGAAACTGAGCACTCGCTATTAGAAGAAGAAAGGAACTCTGCGTCATTGTGCAGATACATAATATATGTGGTCCCCACACTGCTCAGGCAGTATCATGCAGGCGCAGTGGGATCCCCTTGTGTCTCCTGCAGTCGGCGTAGTAATATACGAGGAGCTGTTGTTGAGCTTTTCTCTCCTGCATCCGCGCGTATAGATGAAACCGTAGCAGATACCGATAATATTCATTTTGCGTCCGGCACGAAACACTCTTCTGGCTACTTTTGTTTAGCGTACACGCTGGTGCAACCCGGTCTTTCCGTGGCCGGCGTTGTCTTTTTTGAGTCACTCCATCGACAGTGGAGTGTTTCGATGTGCGAGTGTCCACCAGTACGTTGACCGTGCACGCCGCAAACGCACCTGCCCTGCACACAAACCTCCACGCGTACATACGAACGTGTGTAGCTGAATAGTTTACGCCACTACAACGCAGGGCATCTCCTACATACAGCAGCCCCTAGACGCGTTCGTACACGTACAGTCGGTAACATCCATCAGCGTATGTGCCCATGAAGTACGCGGGTCAGTAAAGAGGATCTTTGAAGAAAAACGGGGAATCTGCGGAGTGCACTGGATAGGAGGACGTGGTGGAAGATGCATTAGTCCCCGCATAAAAGGGTTGGCAGCGCTTTTACCCGAAGAAGCAAAGCGCAGGAGATGCGCTCCTGGGATAAATGCTGGGAATGAGAGCAGCAGTCAGCTGTGCTGCTTCTGCTAAGCCGCTGCACTGGTTGAGAAGCGACGAGCCCAGCGCCGTTTCTCTGCCGGTGCGAAATTGCTGACTCTGTGGGCGACTGTGGCGCGACGGAGTTCTGGTGATGGTTGGAAACATGCGATGCTGCTGTCGACCTTTATGTTGCAGGGAGACCTACAGCTGTGGACCCTATGAAATGCAAGGAGCCCAGATGCAGATGGGGCAGATGGAACAAGAATTCGACGCCGACGCGTATCGGGTAGGTAAGCGTGAGGACGGACGGCACCGCTCCCCGCCTGTGAGTAGACGTGCTAGGTTGCCACCTTGCCGGTGGCCGCGTACGCATATGGTTGTGTGCGCGCGCACATGTGCGTAGTCCAGAATAGTCTTGCCTACGCGCATATATCTACCATCATCTGCTCGTCAAATGCTACCACGAGGGGCGGTCATCCTTTCAGATGTACCTCAATTTGCGGCGAAACTTCGTGTACGAAAATGGGTGTATTGCTACATGGTGTCGTCCCCCTCTAGTCTACGCTGTCGTCCTGACTGGCCCGTGCACTGGTGTGGCGCAAGCCCACGCAGACAGGTATATGAACTTTGTGAGTAGTAATGCGTAGTCTTGAGTAGTGTCAGATAGGCGAGCAGGCCGCGCGTTTGAAAGAATGACGTATACAGGAGGTGGTGCAGAGGCCGCGCACACTTTGGTCCCTCCATCAGTACGAAAAGGCGCACTTTTCACGTCTTTGAGGGAGTAGCTTGCTGCTACGCGCCGTCGCAGCGCCGGGATAGTACCACCTTCAAAAATGCTGCGGAGGGCTCCTGGAGAGCTCCTCAGATTGCGCGTAGGTATATAGCTGCGTTGAGAAACACGTGGTAATACTGCAGTACAGGTCAGCCCAAAACGTGACGATCTGCAAGTGCGACGTACATTGGGTGCGCACAGTTGGAGGCTTGCCCCCGCAGGTACGCGCACGTACGCACCCACGTATGTCCATACGTTTCTATGAGCATGCATACATATAAGAGAGGCTTCCGCATACATACGGGCACATTGCTGAACTGGTCCTTTGTTTCGAAGCGCGCGGGGGTGCCTTCGACTTGGTGGTTAGCGCGCGCTCACCTGACGCGGTTCCGCCTTGTAAGCCCACGCGGCTTGCCATCAGCACTGCGGTGGCAGAGCAGTAAAGTGGCGGACATAGCCGTCCGGAACGCGAAGCAGACCGTGCAGTCTACATTTGGGTATGTGGTCCTTGATGTGCGTTTTTCGTTATGTAATTGAAGCAGTTAGGAGTGTGTGTACGCTACGCACACAGCCGAACAGGGTTCTTATCGGTAGTGCCATCTCACGCTAAGAGCGAGTGCAATTCTTGTACGCAAAACCCTTCCTTACGTCGAGCACTTGTGTATGAATAACCGGCCGTGCCCTCACTCTGAGAAACGTGTGCGTTTTACCACCGCACACCTAGCGCGGCCTTCCAGCTTTGGGGCTGACTTCCGTCGCGGCACCCGGTGGCGGGAGCAGGCCGGCATAGCCTTGGTGGTCTACATGACAGAAGCCTTCCGCGCTGGCATGTCTTCAACACAGACGCATTATTAGTCAGTAGGGCTGAAAATGGTTGTCCACGAGGAACCTCTGCTGGCTGCCTCGTCAGCTCATCGAGAAGTGGGACGCACCAACACACCGCCATTCAGCACCAGTGGAGGAGCTTTTCGGTCCTTTTGGTCCCACGGTTTCGTAGTTCGCGACGTCTGCACCGGTTCAATGTGGACGCTGTCTCCCGGTTTCGTAGTTCGCGACGTCTGCACCGGCTCAAGGTGGACGCTGTCTCCCGCGCGCTGAGCAAGAGATCTAGGGCGATACAGGCTGCTCCGGCGACACCTGTGCTGTGCGCTTCCAAAGCAGAAATGCTGCTCACGGTCCAGACCGCTTGTTTGGGCGCGTGTATACAGAGAAAAGACCACCGCAGCCTGTCTACTGTGACACACCCCCTGATACCTTTCTGTCTGTTCGTTTTCATACCAAAGATAAAATAATCACGTGTGTCGTGTGAAACCGTGTGCAGGGCCAGCGCTACACTTGTACAATCTTGACGTGTAGTCTATGTGGCCGCACCTGTTCGCAGGCACAGCTGCAGCGCCATTTTCTTGAGAAGCGGCTAGAAGAGATTCGCCTACAAAACAAGGAGCGAAAGAAGCGTTTGCGAAAAGAGCGTTTTCTGGCAAATCAGGCGCCCGAGCACTCAACGACAGTTGCTTCCGGAAAGAGCAGTGAGGTAAATATAATTCTCTACTCGTGGTGTACCGTTGGATGTACGCCAATGCCCATTTGCACGACTGTGGTGTCTGCACGTGCTCGGGTGACGTTTCTTTTTTGGCAAGCGTGTTGTCCATTCGCGTTTCCGATAGCATACACATACACATACATCTATACATACCTACATACGAATCTGGATGATGCCGGCGTTGCGGAGGGCGACTGTTGTGGAGGGGGTGGGCTGTCTGCGCCGACCACCAGAGACGAATTCAGCCTCCACGTACGGACCGCGTAATCACCCGGAGGCAGCCGTGTTGAAGCAGGTTGGCGTGGGCACTGGGAAAGGATACCCACTGATGTATAGCGCTGTATCAAAGGACTCGCAGTTACGCACAACGGGGTGCTTCCGTTTTTCCTTGTGCACGACGCTAGCCGGGGCCAGCGCACAGCGCGTGTACCGGTCTCTGGGTTCTTCGCCAGGCTCTTTCACCTAGCTACAATGAAAGCCTGTTCCCGCAGTTGATTGGATCAGAGTCGACGCGCCGCCGCCGAAGGGGGCGGCGAACACATACCAATGTGGTGCGGCGGCGCTGTATTCTCGCTGCCAAACTGCACTAGCGTTTGTGTAGGCCATTCGCGTGAGACGCTGAACCTCGTTGGACCTGTGCACGTGTTCTGGATGCTGCGTGGTCATTAGTCAAGGCGCTGTCCTCTCTCACGACTCGCGCCCATCAGGAGACTGTAGCTGTAGACTGCTGCACGCCACACTGCTGCCGTGTCTGTGTGTCGCTTACTCATCTAGTTCGTGCGCGGCTCCGGCCAGAGTCTTTGGGGGCTTTGAGGAGCTGCTGCTTGAACTCCGCGCTGTTACAGACGACGCCGGTCAGCGGGACATTCGTAGTGTCTTTTGTGTACGCCTGGCGAAGCTATGTGCTCACTGCGCGCCTTCGGCATAATGCGCAGCTACGCGGAGAGGTGCCTTGGTGTCATGCACTGCGCTGGCGGGCGCGCGCGCGCACTTCAATGCGTTTTCTTGGTCGAGGCCGTACGGGAGCCAATTGAAAGATAACTGTGGACAGTAATGTTGGTCTCGCAGCGAATTTGCTGCTTGTACTCTCATGCGCCCCTCGTGAGTGGCTGGTCTGTATTTCTTTTTTTGTGGCAGAAAAGCCGCAGGCCCCAAGGTCGCTCCGAGGAAACAACCGGCAACGGGGGGTTGCGTGTTCCTGCGTCCAGCAAACACAGGAGTGCTGATAAGAAGCTTGAGGCAGTTAGGCAGAGGCAGCGGGCTTCATCTGCTTCGCCGAGGAGTGGACGGACGTCTGGCGCAAAGCGAGAGCACAAGATAGACGCATCGGCTTGGCTGTGAAAGAGAGTTTCCCTTCTACCTCTCCCTTCGACCAAGATACCGTACTGAGTAGTTGTTACTATCATGACATCGTGTACTCTGTACTGCGGCTGTGCCATACGAGACATTTTGTATGTTTGTGTCCAGTCTTTTCATGCCGCATACATCACATGCCTTGCCGCGCATTTTCAAGCATGAGGCCCTGAATAGCTTGCACAACAACTTCGGCGTGCGGGATCGTCTGCGTGGGCGCGGGCAGATTGTCTACCGGATACTCAGCGTGCCCGCTTCCCCAGGCAGCAACCGGACATCGAGCGCGATCTGCGACTTGCGGGAGCTTGCAAAGCAAAGGGGTGGAAGTACATCACTTTCACGTGGGCTCATCTTTTAAGCGCACGTGGCCGCATGAAGCGAGGCGCGTAGTGCGCTAGATGCTTTTCAGGAGCTTTCCACTGCACAAAACTCGCGCGCACCGGAATGTTTTGCCACCCCTTTTCACGGCGTCCGGTAGTGGCATCCTGCTCAGCGGGCTACACACATGCGACGTACGATGCGCTCTTTTGTACGCCGATTCCCGAGGGACAGCCTTGGTTGCGCGCGCTTTGATTCTGCTTACTGGCACTTCCGCGCGGACCAGTGTAGAAGGTCAGTCTTCGGCCGCGCTCGCCGTGCAGCTCATTGCGGTTGCGTCCGTCCGACCAACCGAAAATGCCGAGAAGCAACAGGCTCGCGGCTTTGAAACACGGGGACTAAGTCTGTTTGTAGGGTGTGCACCCGGAGCTGCCCGTGCATAGCGTATTCCCCCCACGTGTGGATGCCTTCCATGCTCGTATACTTCCGAGTGACACAGATGAAATGAATTGGCCAGCGAGACTACGATCCCGGTCTAACGAAGTGCACATGTACTGCCGTGGACCGTAGGGTCGAAGGGCCGCACCGTCCACAGTGATACGGGTGTCTGTATCAGACGCTTTTCTTTCCACTCTACCTTGTTCTGAGGGCTCGAAGCAGCTGTTGAAGGTGAAGACATAGCAGATGCGTGAATGGTCGTGTATCCGGGGACGGATATGCCGCACGCTCGGGCGGCAGGCCTTGACCGTACTGCGTACGAGGACTGCCCGCCTCCGCCAGACTGCGGGTGCATACAGCCGTGAGTGCGGAAACTGAGTCACGTGGACAGTCCGACTCTGGCTCATCGCCCGACGGCCGCGTCATTCGAGCTCCATAAGGCCAGAGTCAGCTAGTGTGGGTGGGGAAGAAGAGGCGTAGCAAATACGCGTGCCGCGAGTCTACCAGAGGTAGGTAGCAAGCGATTTGAGGATGGTCTGCGAAGTCCCTTGCTGCTGCACCCCCGAGAATGGCAGCAGACCCGCGGGCGACGTAGCACGGGCGAAACTGTTAGCGCGCACGCGACACGTGACGGTCGGAGTTTTTGGAGGGTGAGTCGCGCGGCTACCACGCTAGGTGACGTGTAGCTTCAAGCCACTGTTATCACAATGCACATCGTAGTTGCACGAGTGACGCTGGATCGTACAGGGTGCGATCCTGCTTTGACAATAAAGGGAATCGAAGTATTGAGAAGGCAGACGAGAGGAGGGGGCAACTCTGCGGGTGGAAGAAAGGGGTTCCTGCGATGGGCGCGTGGATGGTTTGGAGATACACGAACAACATGTAACTACGCAGGGCGCGTTGACCTCATCTTTCCTATGCTCTGGACGAAAACGCCGAGGTTGTCTCTGAGCAGTGCTGAAGTTGCTTTCTAGCCGCTACAGAGCATACCGTGTGTGAAAGCCCGCTGCTGCTGCCTAAGTGGAGTACGTAGTCACAGGGATGCCATGGCGTTGAACATAATCTGACGCACGGGTGTTATACCGGGGAAGCACCGGAGCAACAGGGTCGCTTCGGAAATGGCAGCTTGTCTCTCTTCCCATCGCCGGTGCCTTCAACCTTGCTGACGCCCGCTACGCGCCTGCGAGCGTTTCCGCCACACAGGGGTGACACCACGACATCGGCTCTCTGCCGCAGTAACTTACGCACACTTGCTTAAAACCTCACTTGTGTACAGCGTAACATGGTGTCCCGTCAGCGTTCCCACGAGCAGACAGCTCTTCGCGGTTGCGACGGATGCTCGCAGTTGTCATTCCCCCCCCTGTGCCTCGGCATGATAAAGGATCTTCCCCTAGGGGAGGCCGTTCCTTATATGTATGCGTCTCTCGAGCGCTAGAATGCCGACAGTTCTGGTGACTCCGCATGCCGTGAAACAGACTAACACGCATCGGAACCCACATCGTAACCTTGGCGGCACCATGGTAGGTTGCAGTCTGCTCCGCACCCGCGCGCAGGGAAGTTTCACTCCACATCACATATTTGTTTTCGTGTAAGCGGCTCTAGCCCAGGGACCGTTGCGCAAGCTTGAGACAGGAAAAATAACTTCGAAAGGCGCGAGACGTACCCATGATAGTTGAGGAATCTCCCCTGTAGCAAGACTCATCTGTGTTGGAAAAAAGCAGGGACCAGACAGAAAAACGGAACTGAGCAGATCGCGGTTTACCGCAACAGGGCGCGCGTGTGTAACAGGGGGACACGTACCGCTCTAAGCTCTAGAACACGGCCGAAGGCGCGTTCATCTAGAAGATGCCAGCTGGCGTCGTACTCCTATGTATGTTGCGCTTGCAGTGGGCAGTGCCCGTCCAACTGCCCATAAAGATAGAGCCTACGGAAAGTACAGGCGCTCATTGCAAAAGGCGCTGCCAAGTCTCTGCGTGCAGTGCCATTTCTACCGCGGGGAGCTGGCTGCGTTATTATATGTGCTGCCCCACTGTGTGAGACCGCGCCGGTGGCGGCTCCGCCATCAGCGGCCTGTGCCGCGTGCGCTCCGAAGGCGGCAGGTAACGTCGCCTACTGCGCCGCAAACTCATACTAGAAGGCCTGCAGGTGGAGGAACACTACTCTCCAGGTGGCGTCTTATTTGTCAGGGCGACCGTTAGCTCGCATACGTGCGTTGGCGCCTTGATTTCCTTCGGGGTGCACCCGACCACTTGGTGCGCGCCGCAAACGCCCAGCTTGCTCCACAGCCAACTTGAGAAGCAGCATGGCCATCAACCGATGGAGCATATGATGCTCTCTCTGTCATTTTACTGGAGCCGGGACGAACCCGTGTGGTACACAAAATGGAACAGTATGCTCAGCCGATTGTCCGAGGCGAGCGCAATTCCCCGAAACGCTGCACATTGCCCGATATCTCCAGATGCTGTATTCGGCCACGCAGCATACTGCGACAGAAAGCGCACACTTTTCTTGTGAACGCACTCAAGCACTTGGTCTTTTCTTTGTGAAGCCTATGCCGCCAGTACTCTCCCGTACAAAGATAGTAGTGGATGGAGGCGGCTGCACTAGAGTACAGCGAAGAGTGCTTGACCCATGGAAGTTCCTTGCCACATCCAGAAACAGCTGTGCTCTTTTCTCTTTTGACGTATCTTCAGGTTTGTCAGTTTGTCCACTTTGAAGGAAACTGTTGGCAGGCCAAATTTATCGTAACTCTGGTATTTCGTTGTCATTCGTGCGGGCGCATTTTAGGCGCAAAACACATTACGCTCGCGTAGGCTGGGCAGTAAGCGTGCGCATCTCTGTGGTTTCCGGCTCGCACGAGCGCCACAAGGATGAGACGTAATGTATCCCGATGCCAGCGTAAGATACTTGTGGAGGCTGTCAGAGTTTTGAGAACAGCATAGTGGATTACACATATGCGCAATGGTCGCTGTGACACTCCTTCACCCGTCCACTGAACAGCTCAAAGGGTCTCAGCACCCTCCAACTCTGTTGACCTTTATCTTATGGTTCCACTCTATACGGCCGGCTACGTGGCTGCTGAGCATGGCGGTCATCTTACGCAAATTAGCAAGACTTTTTGCGCCCTGTGCTTTTCAGTCCGCTTCCCCCTGTCCTTGACGCTCTGATTAAGATGAAGACGCTCCCTGTAAGCACGGATGATGCTTCGCCTCACCAGTGCGATCCGTCGCGAGCGTCCTCTTTCCGCAGCGTGGCTGACAGTCTACAAGCTGTGGCCTGCGACAACAAAACAACAGAGAAACCCTCAACCACGTGTGGTGCTCTGCAGGGGGGGCACCGAACATCGATACGCCCCTCGAGCACCCTGCCACTCGACCGGACAAGTTTAGACTCTTCTGCTTCTACGTCATCCCCGCCTCAGCTTCCTCTCCAGAATCAAGAGTTGTTGCCGCCACCGGTCAATGACGCAACCACACAGTCGCACTACGTTACCGAAGCTGCGGCAACGCATGTAACGAAAGAGCAGTATCGTGGTCGGCTCGTAGAAGACGCCGACAGGCACAGAGTGTGTCCTGTAACTGAAAAAGAAGTTCCGTTTTCAGTGCAGCCACGGCACTCTCCTCAGGGCGCAGCGGCAGCGGCTTCACCCACCGCGCGAACAGGATACCAGCTCCGGTCGCTGACGAGCTGTGGAGACTCCAGCGCCCTCTTGGAGTCTGATGAGCCTTCCGGAAAGAGCTTCCATGCCGCAAAAGCTTGCCCCGTTTCAGCGTTCTCCAGCAAGCTACCAGATGTCGAGGTGTCGGTGGCGACAGCCGGACGGAAAGAAGCGACGTCAGCACCGCTTCCGCACGAAAACCCCACTCACGGCGAGAAGCAAACCGGGACCAGGCTCTCCACCGTTACCACTTCATCCTCGGCATCTCACGAGATTGTAGGCACCGTTCCCAGTACGAAAAAAAGGCCGCAGACAGAACAGACGACCACGATCCCGCGGCATCCACCGCATACGCAGCAGCACCAGCAGCCTCCGCTCCAGCAGCAGCAGCAGCAACAACAACAGCCTCCCCTTCAGCAGCAGCAGCCCGCCGCTGTCCAAAATCGGGAACAATGTCTAGTTCCGGACGCTCGACATACGTTTCAGCCATTGCAGCAGCACCAGGTCTCAGAGGTGGGCGGTTCGCAGCCGTCCCTTCTCCCAGCGCAAGCACTCCCCGGCCTCGGACACTCGGAGTGCTCTTCTGAGCATCAGCCGTTGCTGACAGGGCCCCTCCCTGCACAAGGCACTGCCTCGGCGCCTTCCCTATTCGCGCAAGCGGGTCGCCTCGACAACGGCAGCGCTGCGGACCGTCAGGCGCCCCCCCGTGTCCTGTAGCCGGGCTGCACAGCACTCGCCCGCCGCATTCCCTGTAAAATACGCTTCAGGAGAGCAAGACACAACAAATCCCCCGGACGCACGCGGCGCTGCGCTGCTAGCGCCCGATCAGCAAGCGGTGATGGCCACCCACTCCCCTCGACCAACCATCTTGGAGGTGGCAGTCGGAAGCCAGGTCCCGCAGCTCTCAGCCGATTTTTCTCTCCCGGGCGCTCTGTGCGAGCCTAGGCCGGAGAGGGCTTCTCTGCTGACAGAGGTGCAGGCCTACTCGAAACGACCGAAGACCGCAGACGGCCACGAGACCAAATTTGCAGGCGGCACGGGTGGCTTCTCCGCCACTGGACAACGCCCTGGTAGCACCCAAACAACGGACCTTGGAGCGCAGGTGTGCTGCTCTAATGCTCTTCCTGGCCCAAGCGATTCAACGTCGAAAGCTGCGTCTGAAAACTGTAGCGATGGAAAAGGCAGCAGTCACTCCGCTCAAGCACAAGCGCGCACTCAGTGCGCAGACACAATACGGGCTGCGCTAACGGTGACAGCCGCATCAAGTTGCCATGACGCAGCCCACCACGGCCACAGTGATCTGTGCGCGCCGGGTGCGAGTACAAGTACAGCGCTACGAGATTTTCACATGTCACTATGCGCAGTTCATACCAGCGGGAATCGGATCCTGTATGCCTGCGCAGACGCGTCAGGATCTCGAGTGAACGGCGAGAACTGTAACGCGAGCTCCGTTATTCTCGGAGGAGCTGCTTGTAGGGAGACGCCGAATCGGTACATCACACATGTGGACCGCACGGAGACAAACACTTCGGGCAACGGCGGAGACGGCACGGAGATAAACGTTCCGGGCAATGGCGAAGCGCGGGATGCCCGGCGTGTTGCCCAAGCGCCCAGCGATGCTAACAGAGCTTGTACATCTGATACGTCTCGCGCAGCCGCATTGTCGCAAGTGCGCGCATCAACGCCGCTGGTCCAGAAGACAACAGCTGAAAGCGGGCACAATGTTCCGACAGGGGAACAACATACAAGTGACTCTGCAGACCCCGTCCAAGGGAGATGCGGCGTCCGCATCGGGCTTCCTCTTGACAAGGCCTGCACCACGGAGAGTTGGACAACCGACAGCAGCGCCCTCTCCTGCCGCGAAAGCCGCGGCAGCTCCCTGCTTTCAGCTCTAACGGGAGGCACGGCACCGTGTGGAGCGCTGCCGGTCTTCACAGTCGACGGCGGCTGTTGTGGTAGTGGAGTAGCAGCACAGCGCACCAGGCCAAAAGTGCCTCTTGAACACAAGCTAGAGCAGGCGGTGTCGGGAAAGGAGCACGGTCCGGTGCTTGATGGGAGACTTTACTGGGGGAAGAAACGCGGCCCATACGACCGGCCAGTGCGCACTTTCCTACATGACGAGGAGCGGGCGAACACCGTGCTGTCGGCGAAAGGTCAGGCTGTTCCTCAGCGCAGGATGTCTGCAGAGCAGGGAGCCGAGGACAGGTCCGATGCCGTAACAGCGAGCGTGCACATGGCAAGCGTTCTAGGAAGCAGCAGCAGCATGGCCAGCACGCGGGCCAACCACTCCTACAGCACGCCCATCAAACGGTAATTCATCGAGCACGTCGACAGCTGCGGAAAACCTTTGTGCTGTAGAGGCCGTGACCGTTTTACCTTCCTTGGCAGCAGCACCCTCGTCGAAAGCTCAGGACGTCCCTGCCTCTCCCAAGAACCCGTCCAGTCAGGCAGCAGGAGGGGGTCACTTGTGCTGCGAGGCAGCGCCACGGCGCCTGGTGCGCCTCTGCGACAATGACGAGGAGATTTGGAATGAGTGGGAAGGGCAAAGCATGCTGGGTGAGGGTGTGTACGGGCGGGTCTATTTGGTTCGCAGCAGGAAAACGGGGGAAGAGCGCGCGTTCAAGCGTATGTATCTCCAGGTTAGTCGTCTTGCTAGCAACCGCAGCAACGAAGCCGTCGCAAACGATCATGACGGAGACAGCAGCGCTCCCGTGCCTGTCCCGAACGGGGGCCTCCCGGCTGTGGTTCAGCGAGAGATAGCAAGCTTGAAAGCTCTGCAGGGGGTTCGCAACGTGATTCCGTTAGAAGAAGTTTTGATAGGCAGCAGAAGGGTGTACCTGTCGTTTCCCGTTATACGTGGTGGCAGCCTTAGTGAACTGCTGCGACGGTACGCCATCTGGCAGGAATATCTGCTCACTGTGCACCAGACTGCGTCTTCCGCCTGCACCTCAACTCCGGCAGAAAGAGACTCTGAAGCTGCCAGCAGCACTGCCGGCACGTGTGACTATCGCAACGGCACTCGTGAAGGCCCCACCGAGAGCAGCAGTCGTCAGTGCCACGAGGGCATCCCAAATGCCTGCTGCGACCTCAACGGAGCAAGCTGCGTGGAACCCACCGGGCGCAATACTTGTCACACAACAAGGTGGGACTGCCGCAGCAGGGGCAGATGTAACTGCAGTAACAGCAGCTACAGGACACAACAAACTGGCTACTCGAACGAGCAGACCGCCAGCATCCGCTGCTGCCGGTGCGGTACGGAGGTGGCAAGGGACGTCACGCAGGAGTGCTGTGTCGATCCTGCTGGCCTCACGCGAGGTAAGCTTTGCTCAAGGTGTGCGGGTGAGATGCGAGGCACCTGCGTGGCGTCCAGGCCATCTAGCAAAATTGAACGAGCGCTCACATTTGACGCTGCGGCTCCCAAAGAGAAAATGGATATTGAAGGCCATCGGTCGGCCTCTGGGAACCCTACCTGCGACATTACCAATCAGCTACGGCAACAACCGAGGCGGAGCAGCACCTGCAGCGGAAAAAAAGCAGACGAGTACCCGTGTGGCCGCTCTAACGCCTGTGGAGAGGTCACCGTACGCTCAACGGCTAGCCTTCGGCCGCAGGAGGAGACCATCGCTTCGTTGGCCCAAAGTCTATCCCAGACGGCGTCATGCTGCTGCTGCGGTTGCTGTCCACTGTGTAAGGAGATGGAAGAAGCAAATGACAAAGTCCTGGACGATTTTCTTCAGGGCTCCCGTGCATCCGCCGCTGCTTCCTCCGCGTCTCACACTTCTTCTCTGGCAGCTGGCTTTCGCCCTCTGGCAGGATCTTCCTCCTGGACCGCTTCGGAGTCGTTCTTCTCCCCCCCTTTCTCCTATCCACACATGCCGCCCTGCGGACTGCCTATTTCCCTAGCCAAGGCTGTGGTACAGGCAATTCTACGTGGTGTCAACGCCTGTCACAAAAGAAAAATCGCCCACCGAGACATGAAGCCTGACAACATCCTTCTTGACTGGGTGCCTCAAGCCCCCCCGTCTCCCCCTGCACCGCCACCGTCTCCTGTTAATAGCCTCTCTAGCAGCCTCTGCAACATCGAGCGAACTGTCACCTGCACCCAGCACACTCGCAGCTGCGGAAACCAGTGTACCTGCTCCGCTGAGAAAGGAGGATGCTGCGGCGATAGTCACTGCTGCCCATCGAAGGGGGCCTGTCACTGTCATGCAGACTGCTTAGCCAGTGGGGGAAGTGGGTGCAACAATAAAGAGAGCATTTCCTGCGGTAAGGAGATGTGCTGTCCTGGACCATTGCATACCGGCCAGAACCTCGGTACCGGCGATGATGCGCCCGAGGAAGCAAGCGGGCATGCAGCTGCAGCTCGTGGTGTGTCCGCATGTCCGATGGACGTGTGTAAAGCAGCTACGGCACTGCTCTTGCGCAGAATCAATGCAGAAGCTGACGCAGTCACCAGACGGAACACAGAAGAGCCGGCTGACGCCATCGATATGGAAGCGGGGTTAGAAAGCTCAGCCTTAGCAGACGCACCTGAACAGGACAGAGAGTCAGAACCTGCCAGGGAATTCAGTAGCGTCGCACAGTGTTCTTCTGGGGCGAACGGACCCCAAAAAAACGAGCAGCGCACGGTGGGAACGAAGGAACAGTCGACTACGTGTGGCAAGAAAAGAGAGCCCGGTGTGTGTTCCACGACAGGACTGAACGACGACAGCAGCGGGCCACGCCGGCGAAGGTGCACAAAGGATACTGCATCTACCAGCAATCCCCAAGTAGTCGACGCTGCAGACTCACGGCGGGAAGGCGAGGAACTGGGGAACCCGAATACGGAAGCTGCAGGAGCAGGTGGGGCGGCAAACGCCGCGGCCCCAGAAGCTCCGGCAGACCAGTGCACTGGGAGCGAGGACGTACGTGAGGCAAGCAGCGTCGAGGCGTGTTGCTTCTCCAAAGTCTCAGACGAAGCTAGCAGTACTACCTGCGGCTCTGCAGCACGCTTCGGCGGGAGCGTACTGGACTGTGTGCGACGCCGTATTGATAGTGCAGTGCTAGACACAAGCCGAGGGACCTACGAGGGCGCAGGAGCTGCTGCAACGGCTTTACATGTGGCGGCAGAAGTCGCAGACCGAGCCACGTGTGATAGGGAGGGTGACGACGCTTCGAGAGCAGGTGCTGCCGGGGTCGACTGCTGTGCAGTAGCGGCGGAGAAGAGCTCAGCGGAAGAAGAGGACGGTGCGGGAACGAACAGTTCAGCAAGCAGCGCACCAGGAGCGGAAGATGAGCAAGAGGCTTCCTCAGATACACAGCAGACCGATGACTCTTTGACTACTCCGGATTACCCGCCGTTGCCGACTCGGTTGCTTATAGCGGACTTCGGTCTTGCCCGAACTCTACCCTTTCAGGATTCTGTTCCCACTGGCAGTCCTCCGACGCCTCGTAATATTGGCACGAGCGAGAACCAGGTGCAGTTGTGCAGGCACCAGCAGGCACAATCAGTCATCCCCGCCCCGGCAGCCGTCCCTAGCACCCGTTACACCAGCAGCTGCAACCCCTCCTGCTGGGTCGGCCACATCAAAGGTTGCTGCGGGCCCTGCAACGAGGCAAAGAAGACGAAAGACAAGGCGCTGAGCGGCGTGCCCGTTCGGCCTCAATCCGCCTGCGCCTGCAAAACGGGAGAGCCACCAGCGGACCGAGAATCCTCTCCTGGAGACCCCGCAGAAAAAGAATCTTGCGGCGCTGATACCAGCTGCACCAGGTACTGCAAGCTCTGTGGCACCGGACGGCCGGCAGCACACAGCCATCAGAAAGTAGCTCCTGCTTTGCCGCAGGTGTCCTGCGGCGCCTGCACCTGCAGCACAACATCCGCGGAGGACGCTGGCAGCCGACTGTGGACGCTGTGCAGTTCAACTTCGCGCCTCCCGCACAACCGTGAGGAGATCTTTTGCTGCCTGTGTCGCGACGCAAGCCGGCAAGAGGGAGACAGCAAGGGAGGACTAGCTGTCCCTGCCGGTGCGATCGCCTCACGCACGCAGACAAGCGACGTCTGGTGCGAACACAGCGCGACAGAAAAGTCCGTCCAGGAGCAAGCAGAAGACGTTGAGAAGCCACACTGTGGCAGTGACGGTCAATTCTGTTTGTCTCCTTCTAAGACGCCTCCGGGCTCGTCTGAGACACTGTCTCTTTCCCCGGAGATTATCACGCTGAACTACCGTCCCCTGGATGTGTTACTAGGAAGCAGCTCTTACTCCCTCGGCGTAGACGTGTGGAGCGTAGGCTGCATCTTCATGGAGCTCCTTACAGGCTGCGAGCTTATCGATGGCTGCACCGAGTTCCAGTGTATTGTGGCAATCATGCGACTATTCGGGAATCCTTGGAAGAAAGCTGATAACGAGTGCCGGAATCAGAGCAAATGTGCTTCATGTACGAGGCTGACGCAGACCCAGGACTGTGGTGGCAACCTGGATTCTGCTGAGTGTCCTACTAGCCGCTGCTGTTGTCGAAGGTCCTTCGGCGGCCTGAGTTTAGCTGAGGTTAACATAGCCGAGAGCCGCGCACCGCAGAGCGAAAAGACAAACATAATTGCTCCGTGTGCGGAAGCGGTGGCACCCACTACTTGCTGCGACGAGCCTGAGCACGCCCCAAGGGCCCCAGGAAAGCAGCGGTCTACGGAACTCGCGTCGGGAAAACGTCTGCAGACTCACGGGGCGAGACCGTCCGGCAGGTCCCACGGAGCGAGAAGCCGCGAATGGAGATTTTGGGTATGTATTTCAATTCACCGTAAGACATACTGCTGCGGAACACAAGCCTGCAGGGCATATTGGCACGGACACCTGCGGCGTTGCCAGGTCGAGACTGAAGCAGTGGAAAACACGCTTTGAACAGGACGAACCCTCTGTGCAGAGATCCGGATAGCGGGGGCGCTGGCATGCTCACGTCGCCGACGCCACATAGACCTGGTCGCGCTCCGGTGGAGGACTACTGTGTGGTGCGGGCTACAGCGTCTGGGCACTACGGTGTCAAGTGGGGATCCTGCATTGGTGGCCGAACCGGCTCGAAGGCGCAGCTTTTCACTCTAGATACGTTGTTGACGCCAGCACTGCGCGATGCGCACTACGGTAAAGACTCAGGGCTCGCGGTGTGCTTCTCGCGTCACAACTTCCCGTGAACCATAGCGTAGGGCTTGTGCAGCGCGGTCGCCCCGCGAGATTGTGCCATGCGCAATTGCGGGTGCTTGCCATTTGCTCGTTTCCGTCCGGTCTCGTGAGGTACTGAAACTAGCGGGATACTGAAGGGCAGCACATTACTGAGACGACATGCCAAATTCACGACTACGTAAGGCTGCACCATGTGACGCTGTCAGGTAGTGCTGAACACCTTCCTTAACAAAACTGACGCAGAGACTTCCTCGACGCGACTCATCCGTGCGTACGCAGGGGGAAAGCCTTTAGCTACGTTCCTATCTGGCCTGCGATCGCAAAAAATGGCGCTTACGTGTGCGTCTGCACACAGCGGGACGGCAGCAAGGCAGCGATACTACACCATCGTTTGACAGGTCCGCGCCGTTTCGGCGCGTGCCGTAGCTCCTGTTTCTCCCAGCCGCAGCTTTTGCTCTCGCCCATGTCCCTATTCTCGTCTCATGTCCATCAGTTTTCTTGCTGCTGCAGTGCGCCGCAACGGAGTAGCTCCGGGTCGCATGGGAGACGGCACCTCCCCTGTTGGCGGGAATTGACAGTGCCGTGCTTGTGCCGCCCGTGTACTCATTTGCGGCGTAGAGCGCTGCTTGGCCCACCATACTGACGACTGATATCTCAACAGCACGGAGAAGACGTAGAGGGGGGGTGTTCACGAGGACTTCCTGCGTAGCCGTGACCATTCACAAAAAGTGATGCTGTGCGTCGGTCCCTCCACGCCTCGGCGAGGAGTGTCAATGTGGCTTCTTTGTCGGGCCGGGAGCGCTTACAGTCCCAGCAGCGTTCATCATCCCGTAGCGTGCAGCTTGCTAGGGTTTGCACGTGTTATGCAGCTCGGCATGAGGAAAACATACTTGGTGTCGCGTTTTTTATTCTGCGGCCAGCAGGGTGAGAAAGTGACTGGCTTTCAGCTCTGTTTGCGTTTTCGAAAGTTTTGAGATGGGAGTCCTTGTGAGCGAGTCACGTCTGATGCGTTGTCCTCGTAGGCGGTACGCGTCTGAATGCATCGCTGACGTCGGGTGATGCGCGCTTAGTGCGTAGACACCTGTAATTCAGCGAACAAACATTCTACGGTTCTGCACCGCCCTCGCGCGCATGCACGTTTGCCTGATAGACAGATGCTGGACACCTTCATGTGCGGGGCGGGGAGGCCTCTCACGCTGAAGCGGTCCCAGAGTGTCAGCTGGCGTGTCAGCACTTGTAGCGCAGGTAGCGGTAGCAGCATGTTGGCAGACAGGCCGCCGTGAAGCATTGCACGCGTAGGAATATCAAGCTGCAGCAATAATGCGACTTGTGTGCGCTGCCTGCATCATGGCCTGCAGTGGGCACCAACAGACAAAGCGGGCCATGGCGGAAGTGCTCCCCTTCCCCAGCCATAAACGTACAGGAAGTACGGTTGCGGGGACAAGTAGGGGCGAATGAAAGAGGTGCACTCAAAGTCGTGAACCCGCCCCTCCATTCCAGCAGGTTCCACGCTGGACTTCATGGTGCCCCCGTCGATTGCTTGTTTCTATTCAGTCTGAGGCGCTGCCTGCTTTCCAAGGAGAAGACCGCCCGCTGGAACGAATACTGCGAGACTGCGGGAGACTGGACGCAGTGGCAGATCCTCATTTGTTGGACTTCGCGGGCAGGTAATGCTGCACTCTGCTTTCTAGCAGGCTTACTGTCGCACAGGCCGTGTGCCTGCTGTATGCGTCTTCATATTTTCCGCAGTCCATTATGGACTGAACTGTGCTATACTTGAATGCTGGAAAGGAAGTAGTTCCTGAACACTTGATGATCGTCCTTGATGGCGCCGTGACGATGCCAGTTCTTCTCGGGGGTATCCCGGAGTACCCCCCATCTGCTTGATTCGGGCGTAAGGCAAGGGACCGAAGCGGCCTGAATACATACATGCTTACGTTCTCCTTTCCCTGCGGATTTACTGCACATTCTCCACCGCGAGCTCAGACACCTTGTACACTTCCTGTCTGTCGGGTTTCTACCTCGACTGGCTGGCCTCCACCAGCACTCACGCGCCCGGCCTCTGCATATCAAAGCGAGCGACTCAACGTGAATACGTCACTGCGATACAAGAGCGTTTTCCGGAAGTCAGCGTCCAACAGAAGGAAAGCCAGATACGGGCTTGTGGCACGACGCGCAAGTATTCCAGTGCTTAGAGGAAAATCACCGGTACATTGAAGAATGGTTGCTGAGAGCGTCTCTTGTGCTGGCAGGTGGATACAACAGAGATGTACACCAGCGGCGCAGCAAATCCTCGTCACCGAAAGTAAACCGAGCTGCGCAGTTGCGGGCAGCATACAGAGTGCGCTCCAGATGCACGGAAAGCTACGGCTTCTTGTGCCCGTAAATGCGCCCGCCAACAAGAGAATGCATGAGACCGTACCAGTGAGGCGCCGCCTGTGAGGCTCTTTTAGGATGCATGATACGTATGCGCGTGTGTGAACAGAAGGAGGCGCGCGTGACCAAGTTTGCCTTCCGTGCGCGTACGCTGTGCACCGCGATCGTTACTGCGGAGGTCACGGTTTCTGCGGCGCCTTGCTGATAGCACGCAGGGCCAGCCTCTCCGGCGTCAGTGGCATCATACGCAGCCCGTATTTGGTAACGATGCCTTGTTGCGAGGGCGTCGGCGCTTTAGAGTCTGTGCTGCTACCACTAGATTGTTCAGAGGAGAGTCCCCGTCAGTGTACGAAGAGCGCGTGCACACGTCCGTGGCGGGTACGCACCTTTCTAAGAGTGTGTAACCTCAAGGCAAGTCCCGCCTTCACAACAGATGTATCTCTTGTAGACCTGCATTTGTGCGAGCGTGTTTCAGGATATGTAGAGGCTTTGCTTAGGCAGAGGCTTCCACGGCACTGCTCAAAAGAAGGAGCAGTCCTGGAAATACGGGGCCGTTGTATTTACGGGTCGTTGCATGTGCTCCGACCGCCATGAGGCGACTAGCTCGCGCTATCGCTCTGCCGACAGCTATACCTGCTTTTCTGTTTCGCTACAGGCTCCTTACAGTATTGCCCGAAAAGAGAATAACCGCGTCCGAGGCTCTGCTCCATCCATTTCTTCAGGACGTCCGATTCGAAGACGAACTGTGAAGAACCCCCTTAGAATCCTCCAGCGAAACAGGGGAAGTGGGCCGTCTCTGTGCCGCGGATGATAATGGAGAAGGCGCATTGGACTCTGCCGTCGAATATCAGATGCCTCTCACTGGACGGCGGAAAGGTGCAGCGAACCCGTGTACCCGCCAAGCTCATAGTACGCTTGAAATGTCACGATCGGTCCCCCGTAACGGAATAGCGGCGTTGTCTGCCCGTGTGTCCCACGCAACGTGTCCCTACCGCAGACAGATAATTCTCTGTACGTACACGCCTGACAAAAGCGTTCACTAGCGACGAAGTCTGCGCCAGCGGTCGTATCCCCCGGGACTCGGCGTCATCTTGCCCACTTGCAGTGCTGACTTCTACGCTCAGAAATGGGCGAGCTGAGGAGCCCAGAAAACGGCTCGTTTGTAGTACGTTCAAGCTCGGCGAAAGGGACCCGCATACGCCTTTTCGCGTCATACATTCGATGAGGGGCAGCGTCGCTCGCTTGCCTGTCACGCTGGTGCGCAACGTCTTTAGCTGCGGGGTCGCTGCCGCCGTATGCAAACAAGTCGGGGTTCTTCGCGGCTTACGAATTCTGCAGGGGACCCTAGCAGTGTAAGGAAGTACCCCGGCAGCTGTATTTCTTTCTAAAGTGGTACAACCTCTGTCCAGACGTTCGACGGGTACAGTCGCGGTTACTCGAGACGCTGCTGTCCTCTGCGACCCATTTTGTTACCTCGTGCGCGTGCCAGGGCTACTGCTCTAACGCATACAAAGCGGTCTAGCACATGCTTGAGGGGTCGCCTTCATCAGCGTGCCACTGCAAAAAGCGTAAACCTATTCTTTCTCTGCAGGCAAAATATGCTGAATGCCTTCTCGCACACCAGGCTGTCTTTCCAGTTCTACCTCCTGGTGTTGCACGCAACAAGTTAACCGACGCGTTAAACGCCTCTGCAGAGGTGATGTTTGTCAGCAGGGATGCCCCTGCTTCGAAGCACGAACTGATCCGGTATTTTTCCTGGCCCGTGCGGGATGGTGGGCGGGGGATACCGCTCAACGACGGCGATGTAACGTCGATGTACATACGCTGGCCGTCCAGCGGCCGCGAGAAACGATAGTCCCGTCTAAGTAGGGCGCGAGCGTGGAGGGGTCCGGATACACACCCTGTTTGGCAGCCGTTTCAGCGACGCAGAACGAAGTGCGCACGAGCGAAGGCACACGCTTGGTATCACGACTGTGACGGCTGAATGTGCGACTCTGCGTAGGTCTTGACCACTGACCGTTTGACGCCTTCGTCTGCTTGGTTACTGACTGGATGCGTGTGTCTAGAGGTAGAAATCAGTGCCAGACAGGTGAGCTCCCATGCCGTGCGTGGACCCCAACAGAAGTTCACGATTTCTGGGATCTGCAGGTAAGGAACAAACGAGGCGGTGCACAGCAGGTACAGGCGGTCTCTCTGCGCGTGCGCCTGGAGCCGAGCCGGCTTTGAGCATACGTATGGCATGGTCCTCATGATTTTGACCTATTCACTCTTTTTGTAGAGCACCTGGGCGTGCTGGGCACGCAGAATCCTTTTCGGCCTGGCGATGTACCCAACGTCTTCGGCAGCCGCTGTGTCCTGCCTGGGTCACGAAGTCCCGCGGTAGGTGACGCTTCTATACGAAACGATTTGGCTTGGCAAAAATGTCCTGTCCTGTCACCAGCAGATTCGCTGTGGGCTGCAAGACGGCCGGAATACATGGTTGACTGTACTGGAGATCAGCTGAAACTAGGAGTGCCCCGCATGTTGATCACGGAGGGCGTGCTGCCTGCAGGCGTCTGTTTTGTGTGTGTAGCATGTACGCAGTGCATCGGCGACAGCCGTAGCTCTAGCGCTGCGACCTGTCTGAACTGCGGAATCGTTAAGTCGTGCACGAGGGTACAAACGTGAGGTGATGTGCACTGATTAGGGGTAAATTGTCTCCTGTGGGATACCCAGCATTAGCCGGGCGCATACAAGGTGAGGGCCTTTTGAATGGAAAAGTGCGCAGTAAGTGAACTGCAAAAGCCGCCTCGTAAGAGGGAGCTCCGCAGAGTAACCCCTTGGACCCCCGCGGCGACGCGCCTGTCAACGCTGTGCTTGCTGCGTCTATCTGCCGGACGTTGCGCTCACTCCATCAAGATGGCTTGCTGGAGCACAGATCTGTTTTTACAAACGCGTACATGGTACGCTGCGGTCGGTGTCTGCGTAGGGTGACGAGCTTTCAAATGTCCGGTGTTCTGGCGAACAACGTAAGAACCTCAAGCAGAGCTCCTCGTCAGTTCGGTTTTTTCGATAGCGGTGTATGCTGAGCCACGTAGTGGTGCCGTAATAAGCAATAAAAGGCCGCCGCTGGCAAAAGTTCCTGCAGCAGGTAGTGCCCTCCCATTTTGTCAATACGCGAGCAACAAACCATAGGTGGTGCCTTCTCTGCACAGCCCCGACTCGAAGAGAACTCCGCATCCGTGATACGTGTGCCACCCTGACTAAGTGCTCTTCGATATAGACATATATACGTATAGCCGTACAGGCCGCTCGCATGTCACTTTCCATCCCGACATCAGAATGCAGACTGAAAGCCCACTCTAGAGGTGAGCGCGGGACCAAGGTCAGAGACGATTTCAGCCCACATACACTGCGGCACGCGCCGCCCGCAGCTCCCAAAGAGCAGCCGATCGCCTGACCCCACGTGCCTAGGCCTTCCTGGCAAGCATGCGACAGCTTTGATTGTAAAACTGGCCGGTCCTAGCAAGCGGGCCTAGAACCGCTGCCTGCCGACGTGAAAGCGCGCCCGATAGTTACTGTCTCACGCACCCTTGTAGGCAAAGAGCAAGGTGTGCCGCTGAAGATCAACAGGATGCAGTGGTGTCCCCGGTCGTGGAAAAAGAGATATGAGCATCACAAGGGCTAGCAGCCCGCGGAGCCATGTGAGGACGACTATTTGGATCTCAGATCGGCTGCCTTGCGGGCCGCGCGGCCCATTAGGGAGGCGCACGTTCTACGTACGGCTCTCTCCATTACTGGAAGAGGTGCTCTGATCAGCTCTTACGGAGAAGCGCTGCTATATTCTTGCGACGGACCTTGCTCATGTCGGGCTTTGCTATAGACACAGGCCCGCAGAAGCCTTTTCAGCTGATGTCTCCGGAACAGGTGGGGCTCTATCAGCAAAGATCCTGTTCGTGGTCGTCTCCCCAGAGGGAGGGGCAGCTGCAACGCGACATTGTTTCCGGCATGTGAGGCCTTTGGCTGTAGCAGGCCTGATGCTCTAGTGATTCAGGCCCTCTGTGTAGCTCCCTAGAAATGCCTGAGTTCCTTGTTAGGAGCTCAGCCCCAGCAGCATCTGTGCAAACCGTGCGTCGTTGGTTTGAAATATATGTCGAGTAATCCTCGAGTTCCCCAGCTGCACGCGAGGGTAGTGCGGATAGCTGACGCGCACACTGCACGCTCGCTCTAGGCACCCGCGCCAGTGCGCAGCTAGCTGCCGACGGAGAGGCTGCGTATTGCCTTCATAAACTTTCGTAGCAGCCGGTTTATTCAGCATCAGGATCGCATGCGCTTTTTTATGAGCACCTGCCTAGTGTGGGCACCGCTAACAGACGACGTTCTCCATTTTCCCGTGGATGATGTAAGTCTGTCTCTCGTGTCGCCGCCTCAGGACGGCCGGAAAAAGTATACATGCAACGCGCTTTTTCCTCCTCTATCCAGACGATCGTCCGCGGTAATCACTCGTTTTGTGTCTGAGACACGGCCGCAAAGAAGGAGTATGTCTTAGAGCGGGTTAGAACAGTCAGAGGAGCCGCCGCCAACTCGTAGCTGAAGCGCATCAGGTAGCTGCTGAGAGTAGGTGACCGCTACGCCTGAATACTCGCCTCTCCCGTCATCTCTGGCAAAAAACCGCAGACCTGCCTTACTTCAGACCGCGGTCCTAGGCGTGTAACAAGCACTTTCCCGTACCAGCGTCGCTTCGTGGTCCATTCGGCCAGCGAACCTGCATTATTGTGGGGGTTACACTGGCGTAGCCTGGCTGGTTGGACTCATCGATCGTACGCAAAAGGCTGGTGCTTCAGGCTGTGAAAGCGGCAGTCGTCAGCGTTCTGGAACGGAAGGTGACAGCGCATTCTCTGCGATGGACACTGACACAGTATGGTTGGCTGAACAATACGCGAACAGCGCTGCTGCTTCGGCTTCGAAAGGGGCTATTCGTCAGCGGTTCCTGAACAGCAGTACTCGGCGGTTCCACACTACGTGCATGCTCAGTGCTCAGCACCGTATGACGCCGCAATACCCTCATGGACATATATATACTATTGCGTGCGCGTCATGTATGTATATGCGAATGCAGTAACGCAAGAGTCCTGGAAGCGGGTGTTGCAGGACTGGGACGACAAGCAGTAGCAGTGAAGAAGGCTAGACGATGCCCTTGAAACCAGCAGCGCCTGCCGTGGAATATGAATGTCTCGTCACTCCGCATGGCACGTCTGTACCGTCTAGCGCTGGATACTAGCATTTTCTAGTAGAGACCACCGACCCCCGCGCGATCACACATTCGGGTTTTCAAAAATGAGCAGAAACGTCCGTCTGATCTCTCCTCTCTCAGATCTCCCTTGCTCCCTGCTTTGTTCGGTATACGGAGGTGCACTGGGTTTCTATCTCGCCCTACGTCCACCCCCCCTAGCACCACGCGTAAAGCCTAGGTATGTCTGCGTGCAGCATAACCTATGGCTACGGGGTTTGGACGACTCGCACTAG